GATTGTGTGAAAATTATCAAACACTTAACACATTCTCAAACCCAAAATCAAAAGACCATACCTTTGTTTCTGTTCCTTTCGAATCCAATACTAGAAACACAACACTTGTTTCTTTTCCCTTTCAAATCCAGGAGCGACCCCACACTTTGTACTTTCTTTCGAATCCAACAAAGGAACACTACACCTGTTCTTTTCCTTCAAATCCAGAAACAACAAACATAAACTCTACTCTTCTTGGCTTTTGAATCCAACACTAGAAACACCACCTTTGTTTCTTTCCTTCGAATCCAGGAGCACCCAGGGCAGCAGCTCCAGGTCCAACACCTACATTCCAGCGTCAAGCAAGGTAAGTCCTCTTAACCTTAAGCTTTTCGTTTCGAGCATGTAAATGATATTTGTTTACTTTTTCGTTTCTGCCCTTTTTAGTTTGTTTTTCTTGTCCAAGTATATGTTAGAATTAACCTGTACAAACTCAAACAAAAAAGAAAACAAAACAAAGTTTACTGAATCTAAGCCTTAGGCTTCGCCCCTTATCGCTTCATGGTCCCAAATGAAAGACAAAAAGGGCGTGAACGGAGGATGCGCACTCATGCAGCTTTACAGGCCCATATTGCTTCACAGTCCAAACGAATGAGCAAGAAGGGTGTAATCAAAGGGTGTCCACACTGACTTCCAGGCCCGATCAAAAGCAGCAGCGAGAAGGTTGAATCAAAGGGTCCATCTCACGCTGGCTGCTAGGCCCAAATCGAAAGAAGCCAGGAAAAGCATAATCGAAGGGTGCATTATGCCTGGATCAGAAAACTTGTTTCCCTTCTTTTATTTTGTTTTGTTTTTATATTTTCTTGTTGTTCAATATGGTTGTAATAACGTAGGACCTTATTTTTCGCATTTTTATTTCTTTATACAAATGTTAGTAATTAGGATGTATGGCAAGATAAAACCAATAAGTAGATAACCCAAAAATCAAAGACAAAAATGCATGTAATCAAACACATTTGCACACATGCACCTCTAAGGTAATCTCACTTGTTGGCTCATAAAATAGTCATGTCCTTCGAATATGGGCGTTTTAGAAAGACCCTCGATAAAAGATCGTAGTCCCTCGATGACTCTTGATGTTTCCTTCGGTAAACGATCTAGTCCCTAACGAAAATTGCTAAAATGTCTCATAGGTTGCCTTCGATGACTATACAAACAAACCACGCCTGTCCCTTCATATCTAACGATGGGGCTTCTTACCAAATCAATGGTAAGGTATAAACATTTAAAGGAGGAGGAAAAGAACATAAGACCTTTTGAGTAGGTAGAACGCTCGTAGTTGCTTGCTTGCTCACAACTAAAAAATCATTTTCAAACCTACACATTCAGTTTAAATATTTTCAAAAGTCAAAGCTCTTTGTACGCATTCTTATAGAGATGAGAATCATTACAAAGGCACTTTTCAAAATCACTTTCAAAAACATCTTCCACAAACACCTCTTTGAACTATTTTCAAAACCAACATTTTGCACGCATTCTTATAGAGACGAGAATCATTACAAAGAAGTTTTCCAAATATTTTCAAACCCACACCACAAAGCACATTTTCAAACAAAAGCAAGTTGATCTAGCAAGCAACTAAGAGCCCGTAGATAACTATATTTGAAAAGGGTGCTAACACCTTCCTTTTTCATAACCTACCCCCGAACTCAAGAAAACATCTCTAAAGGTCTTTCCTGTTCTTTTCACCCTTTCCTTATTGGATAAAATAAAAGTCGGTGACGACTCTTACTATCCGCAACAATTGCGATCAAACGCAAAACAACCGAGCCAGTTCTCCCACCGTATTACAGGTAGGATATTATAAAACTGGTGCATACAGACTATTCAATCCGGTTAATGAGAAGATTGTGTTGAGTCGAGATATTGTGATTAATGAAAATTATGCCTGGGATTGGAATTCTAGCAATTAAATTAACAAGCCATTGATAAGTTCTGATGTCGATGAAGAAACTGATGAAGTAGAGGTCGAAGGAATTATTGAGAATCTAGCCGAAGTCGAAAAAGAAGCAGTTGCTAACATTCCCGACACAGTCGAAGTCAAAGAAGTTGTGGCTGAAACAAGCCAAAGACCTCAAATAAATAGAGTTCTTCCAACAAGACTTCATGATTATGAAGTGGTGGATGATGATGAAGTCACACTAGATAGAGAATTAGTTCATTTTGCTTGACTTGCAGGTGTTGAACCAATTAACTATAGCGAAGCTTTAAAGACTAAATAATGGAAGTTATCTATGGTCGAAGAGTTACAGGAAATCGAAAGAAACAACACATGGGAATTAGTCGAATTGCCAACACATACAAAATCTATCGAAGTAAAGTAGATATTCAAGTTGAAACATAATGTTGATAGCTCGATAGCAAGATATAAAGCAAGATTAGTAGCTCGAGGGTTTCTTCAAAGAGAATGACTCGACTACTCTGAAGTATTTGCTCCAATAGTAAGATTGGAGACTGTTCGACTAGTGGTAACATTAGCATACAACAAAGGTTGGTCGACATTTCATTTAGATATGAAATCAGCATTTCTGAATGGTCCTTTAGACGAAGAGGTCTATGTAACACAACCTCCAGGGTTTTTGATTCAGAAGGAAGCGAGTAAAGTATATAAGTTGCATAAAGCATTTTATGGCCTCAAGCAGGAACCTAGGGCATGGAACAAAAAGATCGACTCATACTTAGTCGAATTGGGATTTGTCAAATGCTAATCTGAGTATGGTGTCTATGTTCAGGTTGTAGCAAACGATATAACAATCACCTGCTTATATGTCGATGACTTGCTAGTAACTGGAAATAACTTGGATAACTTGTCGAAGTTCAAAGAGCTGATGATGAAGTAATTTGAAATGTCTGATCTGGGAAAATTGTCTTATTTCTTAGGTATGGAATTTCAAATGTCGAAGCAAGGTATGATGCTACATCAAAGAAGTATGCCAAATAAATACTCAAGAGATTCATAATGGATGTTTAGAATCCTGCATCCTCACCTGTCGAATAAAATGTAAAATTGGAGAAGAATGTAGAGGAAGACAAAGTCGATCTAACTTTGTTCAAGTAAATTGTAGGATCTCTTAGGTATGTGTGCAATAGTCAACCTGATATAGGTTTCCCTGTAGGATTAGTAAGCAAATATATGAGTGAACCAAGAGTGTCATATATGAAGGCTACAAGAAGAATCCTGAGATATTTGAAGAGTTCGATAAATTGTGGAATACTATTTCGACGATATTCTGAAGACAAAGAAGCAATAGTTAATTGTTTTTCAGATGATGATTGGTGTGGAGATAAGGAAGATCAAAGAAGCACAACTGGATATTTCTTTCAAGTATTTGATGCCTAAATCTTATGGTGTTCGAAGAAACAACCTGTGGTGACGTTATCATCTTGTGAAGTTGAATATATAACAGGATCCTATGTTGTATGTCAAGCAATTTGGATCAGATCTATACTTGATGAAATGAAGGTCAAAGTGAAGAAACCTCTTGTATTGCAAATTGACAACAAGTCAGTCATAAATCCGACAAAGAATCTAGTTCTGCATAGAAGGTAAATCAAAGTGAACTTGAAGTAAGACATTGCTCGAGTGAAGCACAGTTGGCCGACATTTTCTCCAAAAGATTGAAGATTGACAAATTCCTAAATTTGAGAAAGAAATTAGAAATAGTTCAGATTGACTATTTTTGAGATGTTCGACAACTTAGATTATGGGTGTGTGTTGAAATATTAAATTAGATATGTTAAAAGATTAGATTAGATTAGATTTAATATTTAAATATAATCTAAATTATGTAGACTCAAACCCAATTAGATTTGTATATAAATAGTCCTCTTTATTATTATTTATACAATTCAATAATATAAATCCTTATTTTCTTTATTATTCTCTTTTTCCCTCCTCACTAAAGTGTCTCACAGCACTAACATTTACGAATAAGCAAATTCAATTTTTTAAGTTATGTTATGTTATAACTTGTATCTCACTTTATTTGTATTTGTGTATATATAATTGAAGTGTATTTTCTCACTCTCAATTATATCTTCTCTTATTGTCTCTATCTCTCCCTCTCACTCTCCACATTGAAGCGCTCCATTTTTTCAACCATAGTGATTTTAATTTTCACCAAAATCTCTCACTATTTCTTCTTCGCCATTTCTAATTGAAAGCAATCTCTAGCATGTATGCCCTCTATAGTGATTCATTGGATTCATTCAAATTGCAATACACATAAATTAATAAGCTAATCAGTTAAATTTCTAATGTGCGGTAACTAGCGATTAAACTATTTATTGATATGACTTGACATAAAAAAATTATATATTATCAAGAGAACCATAATTAATATTTAGAGAAAAGAATGGTGATATAAACTATTTTTACATTGTCAACTAATGACAATCATATATTTCATTAAATTAGATTATAAAATTTAAATTATTATTATAATTTGACACTTTAAAATATTCCATTTGAATAAATATGTGACGGTCTACTTGAAGTCAACTGTAAATTTGTAAAATATGAGAGCTACTAAATGAATCTGTTTTAGTCATGTGAGCTATAAACTAATTTTATTATGTTTGTCAAATAGAGCCTTAGAATTGTTCTCCAAAGAATAAAAAAACAACTGAGTGGTACTCTAACGAGAACGTGACATTATCAAACTAGTTTAGAGCATGATTGCATGTCAAATATTTCCCAAGTAAATTTTAACATGAATCATTATACAAATTTTTCACACCACATCAAAATGAAATATACAACAAGCATAACGAGAATCAAGAGTGTTCTTCTGCCTACCAACTAATACATGATGATGATGATGATGATGATGATGATGATGATGATGATGATGATGATGATGATGATGATGATGATGATGATGATGATGATGGTGATGGACGTGTAACACAGATCTCATTATTCTATAAACTTTGTCACCATCATCACAGTTCAAATGTGTCTATCCACATTTAAAAAGTAAAATGTCTTTGGGAGCGATATACAAAAAAAAGTAGAAGTGTGGTTCATAAGATACATTCGACACTGCAAAATAAAACAAGAAAAAAAAATCCATCAAATGCAAAACCCTAAGAACAATGCATTGTATCTACAAAATAATCAAGAAACTTTATAACTTAATAATGAAAGAACTAGAAGTAGTAGTAATTACCAAAACTGCTACCAACGATGCAATGCCAAGTGGGGCCATATCTGCTATCAAACTCCGTCTTTATCTCCTCGGCAATACTCGAGTCGCAATCATACTTCGTAAAAGCCTGGTTCAAGAAAAGCTCAAGACTTTATGAAACTAGACACCATGAAAACCAAAACGGTAAATGAAGGAAGGAACTAACGGTGGTAGCTATAGCTAAAGCCTCTTTTTCCATCTTGTTATACAGACGCTGATCAGCGATGGTTCTCTTGGGACGAACAGGTGGTGGATGTGGAGGTAGTAGTAGTAGTAGTAGTGGTGGTGGTGGTGAGTTGGGAATGAGGTTGGACGATGAAGCTTCGTCAAGGTTCTTATTCTTATTCTTCTTGCTCTTGTTCTTCTTGGCCATCTTTCTTTGTTGAGTTTTGGTGACAAGGGAGGAAGGAGATGCGTACAAGTGCTACTGATCAAGAACGATAAGCTCGGAATATATAGCATACAAAAGTAAAGAGTGGTGTGAAAATTTTTGATATTAGTATAATTTTATTTATTATTTATAGTGAGGTGAGGCTTAGGTTACGTTTAATACATTGACATAATTCATCTATATAATTTGTATTTTAAATTACAATTTTGCTTATTTGTTATTCTAATAAAACTTTCCATTTTCTTAAATTTTATCTTATTGTTTAGTCATCACATTTTCTATATGTTTTTTTATTATTTTATTAAAGAATTAAATATATGTTTTGTTTTTATAAATTTAAATTTGATTTTAGTTTTTATAAAAATATTTTTCGAATAATAATTTTTTTTTTAATTTTCATTCACGTTTTTTGTCTTTTAGATTAAAATCGTGATTTTTTTTTTTACAATAACCAAGTATTAAAATAATATTTCGCAAATAACCGCGTTTCGGAAAAAATTACGCAAATAACCATGTTTCAGATGACTCCCCAAAGGAGGAGCCATCTCACTTGGCGCCTCCACCCCTAGTTTTGCCCTAGGCGCCATCTCACTTGGCACCTCCTCTTACTTTTAGCCAAGTGAGATGGCGCATGCACTTTAAAAGTGAGATGAGGCGCCATCTCACTTGGCTCCTAGGACAAAACTAGGGCAAAATGTTGTTTTATAAATAATTCATCCGTTTCTCCGAAATTTCTCACACTTTCTCGCACTATTTTTTTATTTTTTACTCTGTTATTTGCGTCATGACGTCGCCCATGATTTTTAGCAGAGATGGTTACGTTATCTTCTCCGCCATGAAACCTGCGATGAAAATGAAATTCTGGCACATTCACTCCATGGAGCGTCTGAAGCGGGAGTTGATGCGATGGCTAGATGGAGACATTGCGGAGGGGGGAAAATTCGAAGGATCCAACGAAAACGAACAATAACCTCACATGCGACAGGAAGACCTAATGTATGGTTGGAGAAAGTCAAAACAGACAGCGATGTAATGTTGATGATGCATGGGTCAGATGAAATTGTGTTAACAGTTGTAATTTCGTAGACGGAATATCGTTAATTTTTCTTGTACGCTCAATATTTATTGTAGCAAAATCTGTTAACGGAAAACCCTAATGTTTACAACATAATTAAGGAAAGATTTTATGTATTACAATTTTTATGTGGTCGAGGCAGACGCCCGATTCGGACAATTTTTACGATTGTGTCCGACCTGACGGCATAAACCACACTTTCTTTCCAGCTTGTCAAGATCGTCCATTTCTGTTGTGATGCACTTACTTTTGGGACGACCCTTCTTGTTCCTTCGCATTTGGTCATTGTGCCACACTATTTCGCCGTCGTATGCAGGCCAATAATCTGGTTTTGCTACCAAATGAAAGTTGTTGTTGTAAACGTTGAGCAACGTTTCAGATTTGTAAATGTGTGACAGAAGTTGCAGCGCGTCTTGATGGGTATGAGCACAAGCGGCAATGACATGAGAGCAAGGCATACGAAATGCTTGAAACCTGCCACAATCGCACCAACGAGAAGGTAGCATGACCCTATATTCTTGTCTTGGCAGGCCTTCGTTGTGGTTGATTGTCTCTTTCACAATGAAGTTGTGGCTGTGTCGGTCAAACCGTATAACCATATAAGTGTTGGCTTTGGCACTTTATGCCTTAATGTATTTCATGCAGCTTTCACTCCATAGTTGTCCAGATTGCAACACCGCATTCCATATTTCACATCTTTTGGCAAATAACGTAGCCATCCTAAAATACGTAGATTTTACCAAAGTAGTGATCGGGAGGTTTCGTATGCCTTTGAATACCCCATTCATCGATTCAATAAGATTGGTTGTCATGTGCCCCCATCTTTGGCCATTGCCGTATGACCTAGTCCATTTTTCCACCGGAATATTGCCGATCCACCTACCGGCTTCCGGATTTGACAAACGGGTCTCATTGCGGTAATATTTGAATGTGGGTTGTGTCAATGCATATCCCGCACTCATAACTGCTTTCCTTAGTGTTTTGTCCTTGATCTCCCTCGTGAAATTCTAGACGATATGCCTAACGCAATAGACATGCGTAGAAGGAGGGTCATGCCAACCGTTTGCAGGATTATTGTAGGAACTTTCAATAGAGGCATGTCTGTCCGAGATCAAACAGAGATCTGGTTGAGGAGCCACGTGTGTCTGTAGATTTTTCAGAAAAACGCTCCAAGCACCACCGGTCTCCCCCTCGACAAGGGCAAAGGCAATGGGGAAAATGTTGTTGTTGTCATCTTGTGCAACTGCCATCAGTAGCGTGCCTTTGTACTTCCCATACAACCAAGTCCCATCAATTTGTATAATTGGTTTGCATGATGCAAACCCTGTGATGCAAGATTGAAATTCCCAAAACACTCTACTGAATATTCTGTTGTCGTTTAGTAGACTACCATCTTGGGCGTATGCTGGCACTGTTTCCAGAACGTAAACAATACCCGGAGAATACGTCTTGAGTGCATTCAGGTAGCGAGGAAGTTCTTGGTATGACTCCTCCCAGTTTCCGTACACCTTTTCAATCGCCTTAGTATTTGCTAACCACGCCTTACGGTAAGACGGAGTATAGTTAAAAACCATGGTGATGTGGGAGATGATTATTTTCACCTTCAAAGATGGGCCGTTACTTACCAGTGGTAGGATTTCTTGACAGATGAGATCGTAATTAAGTTTTCGGTGGTCCTGTGATTGGGTAGAACTTACACAAGTGTGGGTAGTCATGGAACCTATGACCCAGCAGTCACCTCTTAATCTGTATGATGCAGTCAGCTTGAACATACAGTCAGGGTGGACACACTTGATCTTGTACCTTTCTGGGTTGACACGGTCCACCTTAAAATCAACCGAGTTAAGCATGTGGAATTTTTTTATGGCTCTGATGCATTCCTCTCTGTTACGAAACGTGTCCCTATCTTTTAAATTTTCATTCGACTGTGTTATACCCCAAAATTTGCCCTCCCATATTTTTCAAGAAATTGCCAAGCCAAGTCACAAAATTCCCCAAGGGTAGTGCAGGTCAACTGTCTCCTATACAGTCAAAATTAGGGTTTTGAGTCTGATCAAGAAAAGGAAGTTTTCAAAGGCTCAATCAAGTCTCATATGCTTACAAACATGGTCAAGCATCCTCATATCAAGTTTCAAGGCATTCAGCTCAAAATTGCACAGTCAAAACCCTAAATTGCACTACAGTCAACTGTAAGGGGCAAAATGGTCATTTGACAGTCAAAAGTTCAAATTTTTGGTCAACATATCATTTTGAAGCCACAAACATCATTTGATCAATGCTTGATCATGATTCTCAAAATTTGGCTCAGAAAATCATCAAGATGCAAAAGTTGCTATATTTGGACAGCTGAAAAAGTCAACTGAAATTGACCAGGGCATAACTTTCACATGGATTATCAGAAAAATTCCATCCAAAGCTCATTTTGAAGAGAAAGACATTTCCTACAACTCATATTCATACTTCAAGTCCAAGAAATGCTCTCACAAAAAGTTATCAATTTCAACATTATAGGTCATTTTCAAAAGTCAACAAAAGGGGACTTTAAGTCAAAGGCCATAACTTGAGATTGGTAAATCAAAATGACATGGGACCAAAGGCATTGGTTAAAGGACTCAAAGACCTTTCCAAAATGTCCAAGAACATGTGAAAAGCTTAAAAAATGAGCAAGTTATGCCTTGTAGAAGTTGGGAAATTTTTGTGAAATGGCAAAAGTCAACTATCCTTGAAAATCCAATTTTTGACAAAAGGGCCCCATTTTTTCCACTTGGTTCATCCTTGTCATGCCACACACGTGTCCCATGGTTAATTTCAAGACCAAATATTGATTTTTTTATTTTATTTAATTTTTGATGATTTAATTCATTTTAATTCTTTGAAAATTCAAATAAAATTTAAAAACCAATGGAATAGTGTCATGTGAACTTGGACAATTTCTATGTATCATGAACCAACTCAAGAAATCAGGCTAGGGTTCATTTGCACACTAGGTCTAGGTTTTGGCTAAAAAGGAGGAAAAATGGTTAAGAGTGAAAACCCTAAGACTAATTCCTTCATGAGCTTGAATCTAGGTCAAAGAGTAAGCCAATTCCATTCCATGATCATCACTGAGTCAAACCCTAACCATAAGATGCCATATGCTGCGCTGAAAAGCCATTGGACAATTTGAAAAATGAGCCATATAATGCAAATCTGAATTCAAGGTTAGAGGATCTTTTAAGCTTTAATTCTTTTTCCATAAGCATCCTTAAGCAACTCTGAACACGTTCCAATCAATCTCAAGCACAAAAGCTCCAAGAATTGGCGTCTGGGACTTATACTGCATTGCAAAAAATTCACAATCGTATAGCATTTTTTAAGCACTTTTACAACATTCTATGCATTACATCATGTGTGTTTTGAGCTTCTGAAACTAACCCTTATGCTTGATTGAAGTTTTACACGTTGTACACGAAGATGCCATGATTGAGTATTAGGGTTTCGTGAGGTTCAAAATTAGGGATTCCTAAAACAAGAAAAATTAGGCCATCCCAGTACTACCATTGCATCCAGTACACCAAGACGAATGGATTGACCTACTCGCGACAAATTTATGAGCTACAGGGACCTAATCGCTATTTTCTCAAAAGCTGCCTAACGCTACGCTTCAAAAACCGTTGCCTTCTTTCTTTGTGTTTCAGGAAAATGGAAGGGATGATGGCGTGGCACAAGTGGATTGGAAGAATTTGAATTAGCGCGCGTTTTAAAGAGCATTGATGTTTCTTTTTTTATAATATTTATTTACTATTATATATTAATTGAAAGTGAAGTGGTTCAGTGGCAGAGGGAAGCGCTTGCAATGCTTATGACCTGGGTTCGAGTCCCAGGTCTACACAATTCCATATTATTTTTCAAAATAGAATTCTATGCT